GTCATTCCTGGACCTGAGACGAACCCAAGGGGCTCTTTGGACATGAGCTGTGCCAGTGCCCCAGGCCCATCATGTTTCTGTGTTTCTGTTGTAGGCATACAGAGATTTTCCTGTAATGGGGACTAACTGCTATTCACTTTTATGGCAGCTGTCAGAAATTGTGAAAGTGGCCTACTAAATTATGTATAAATGTAAGTGTCAAGGCCCATTGTAATAACCATGGGCAGCATTGGGGTTGCCTTTGAAATGCAACAGAAAATTTATTTGTATATTTAGATTTTTATGGAGTTTTAGAAATTTCACCACTTTGTGGCCTTTTGTGTACTAGAAAACTCTTGGAGCTCTCACTTTCTGCGTAGAAACTTGCAGCTAGCGTGGGGGTGAACAAAGGTGAGGCGGCATCCCAACTCCACTGCCCTATATCTGCTTGCCCCGCAGAAGGTCCCAGATCTGCATCTCTGCATCAGGTCCCTGCGGAGCTGATGGGAACAGGAATAAGACTTTCTGCTGGGTCAGCATGTGGAGCAGAGACCACATATTTAACTGTCCTTTGGTTTTTGTTTTTTGAAATCAGGTTGGATGAAGACTGAAAATACTATTTGAAATGTTGTGGGTGCTTTTCTGCAGCAGGTGTGCTTCTGATGTGATGACTTCTGATGTGAGGCTTGGTCAGTAGCTATGAGGCCAAATCCTAACCAGAGGCTCATATTCCATCTCCATTTCTCCTGGATAGTTGCAAGAAGTGTTGGTCTGGTGCCCACACCGGGAACACTGAGAGCTCCCACTCCAGAAGGTCATGTAGAGCCTTGGACAATTCGCCCCCTCTCCTTCTGGCCTCAGTTTCCATCTGTGGATGGTCTTATTTGAGCAGGTGTGCCTGGCTGACCCAGCAGAGCAGGGAGAATCGCATATCCCACTCTGAGCTGGAGCTCGTGCACAAGTGGCCACGTTTGCCCCTCCTAGAATCCTTATGACCTAAGTGTTTTATTGTCACCCCCCTGTGCCAGGAGGTCCCTGGGATTCCTGGAATCAGCTGACCTGTCTAAGGCCAGGAGACTCTACTAGCTCAATCTGAGGTGGGCTGTGGCCCAAAGTCCAGCTCAAGTTGTATATGAGTGTATGGATGGACAAATGGATGGATGGATACACGGATGATGAGTGGATCACTGGTTGTGTGGGCGGCTGGATGAATGTATAGATGGGTAAGTGGGTAGATAGGCGGATGGATGATATGGATCGGAAGAGATATGTCTATGCACTTGATACCAGTTGTGAAATCCTTATCATTCAAGGAGGTAATATTATGGTAAAAAACTTTGATATATTTTCTTCATTTTCTAGAAAATGGTAGAGAAGAAGGCATGGTGGTGGTAGAGAGTGGTTAGTGGTTATCTCTCATTACTCTAGCACAGTTGAAGGCTTTTTATTCACTCATGTTCCTGAGGCAATGGGCAGAGCTGGGTTGAACCCGGGCCTCTAACTTCAGAGCCTGTGGTTGTCCAGTCAGTTCATTGCTGGTTGGGACTGCACTTACTCCCTTGCCAGAACATGAAGAGGTCTAGGCCTTGGTCAGGTGGATTGGAGTCTGCATTTGTTCCTCAGCCTGAGAGGGCTGTCTCACACTCCAGGTTCCAGTCTCAATTTCATCTCCAAAAAGGAGGCCCAGCAGAGTTGTGGAGGGGTTTGGTGGGTTGTTGGCACATCATTGCCACAGAGACTGGCACGGGATGGCTATGCCCTCAGGTCCTCTAGAGAGCCTGTGACTTGAGGAACCTGTGGTCATGGAAACTGTCAGGGAGATGTTGGTGCTCTGTTCCTCTCCTAAGGACGGCCTTGGGGGGCTGGCTGTTTCAGCCCACTCACTGCCCCTTCAGGTCAGCACAGGCACAGGGTTCTTCTGGATTATGCTGTGCGGCTCAAGAGGAAAGGGTGGTGGTGTAGGAGGAGCTGAGTTTCTCTGTCTGGGCCTGCCGGGGCATAGATAGCAAATGATGGGCGAGAACTGGGGAGTGGGGAAGCTCCGGCGCAGCCCTGCCCTGTGCCACCCCTCTCTCGCCCCATGGTCCAAGTATTCGTGCTGAGTCCCATGGCACTTGTGGCTCCATGGGCTCAGCTGCTGGAGAAGTGATGTTACTGCAGACATTAGTGTGTACCCATGTCTTGCCTCTTAGGTGCCTCTGTTGATCCCAGAAAAGCTGTGGTTACACCCCACCTGCCCATATGAATACAGAAGTGAGAGTTGGGGAACAGAGTGATCTGTCCTGAGGGCAGGTGGCCCTCTGGGGCTGTATGATGAGGTCAGGTATTGGGGTCCACTAGACTTGTGCTACCTTCTGCAGCTGGGGTCCTGTGTAATCCCTCAGAGCCTGGATAACTCCTGTCTGTAGAGCAGGGCTGCTGATGGAGACCATGAGGACTTGTCACTTCTAAGGAAGCTTGTGTGGCCATATGCTGTGGATTCCAAAGGGTTTGCTGGGGGTATAGAGGAATAAGCCAGGGTATCAGTCTGTGCTCCCTGAAACCCTACTCCCAGATTCTAACTAGGAGGAGCACTAGAGTCATCAAGGCAGGAGGAAGGGTCCTGGCATCTCCTTGGACAGCATCCTGCTGACTTGTGGCCTGAAAGTGGCTATAGGAAAAAGGAGGAGGAGGAGGCCAGCTCAGTGGCCTGAGACCCTGAGAGAGCAGCTGGCTTCAGGGGATGAGGGGGTCTGGGTTCCTCAGAACAAGGAGCAGAGGAGGAAGGTTCTGGCATAGGTTGTTAGGATTCTGACCACCGCAGGCCTCTTGGAAACACCACAAACTCAGAGACCAGGGACTCGGGGAGATTGGTGGGCCAGGAGAGGCAGTGGAGGTGTCCACCCCTTCCACAGCCTGTGGGTGTGCACCTGTTCAGCTTCCTACAGCTCCTGGGGTGTGGCACTTAGCTTTTACCCTTTCATGCACCCTGCCCCAAGTTTGGGATTCTCTGAGGCTATTTTCCTGCCACCCCTTTTGCTGTTTCCATAAATCAACACCTCCTCCAGGCCACATCTGCCAGCTGGTGACCTCTGGACATGCTTCTGGGTTCTCCCTGCCTTGTCAACCTCATCACTGGTCTCTGATTGGGTGTCTAGTCATGATAACTTTCTATACCCCAAGTAACAGGGACCATATCTCTTGTTGCTGTTGTGTTCCCATCACTATGGCCTCTAGTACCAGGGTGTGTCTGAATGAAGGAAGAGGGGTAAGCAGGTATGCAGGCAGCATCTTTTGAATTCCTCTAGGATGGTCAGTGTGCCCCATGGAAGCCCCCCAGTGAGTGAATGCAGAGCACCAGGCAGGGAAGAGGTATCACCACCACTATCCACACCCCAGTAACTACCCCTTCCCTGACCCCGCAGCTCTCCGCTTCTGCCTTGCCTGCCCATGGCCTCTTGATTATATGGTGGACCGAGGGCCTCCTTCTCCATGCAAACAGTTCATACAGTAGGAATGGGGTAGCCAGTACTCAGTGAGTACCCCATTGTCCCTTGGTTTTCCTGAGGGATTGTCATGGTCCAAATGGAGGGTAGGTGTGATGAAGGTGGGCATGAAGGGGGTGACAAGGTGGGATTCCTGGGTCACATAACTGTTGGCTAAACTGTCCAGTCTTTGCTGACCCTCAGCCCCTTCCCCAGTATGCCCTTCCACCTATGACCCACCTCCCCCTGTCTCCAGTGGGGACACCTATCTTCCCCCATCCTTGCCCCAGCTAGACTAGGCCTTGATTTCCAGAAAATCTGTGTCAGGCCTATGAGTGTGACCTGCTGGTGCCCTGGTCCCCCATGCTGAGTTAAAGTTGGGGACCTTATCTTTCACCTGGCCGTGTCTCCCGTGAGGAAGTGACAACTGGGAATTCCACTGTAGTGCCTGCAGAGGCTGTGGGGGGGTGTGTGGACATGGGGGGCATCCCAGGGAGGGTCTTGCCGCACCCCAGGGGAATAACCTTTGTGCTCTATGTTCCTCGTGTCCGTAATGTTTGGTCGAGGTCTGAGTGGGCCTAAGAAGCAAGGAGTGATTATACAGCTTGCTTTGTGCAGTGACTCATCATTGTTTGAATTGTACAGATATGCCCACTACTGTGCCGTGGGCATTTTAAACACATTCAGTACACATTTAAATATTGATTCTATAAAACGGCAACTTGTTTCGTATACACTGGTCAGTCTTCCCATCGCCACCAGGCTGCCTTCATAAACTGATTGGCATGAGCCCATCCCAGATAAAACAGATGGTCTTTAGAGGAAAGAAAACACGGCCCTGATCAACAGGGCCCAGTTCTGATCTCTAGGCACAACTGGTTCTGGCTACCCTGTCTGGTGGTGCAGGCACCAAAGACCATCTGCCTTCAGCTCTGCCCCTGGCTCAAGCATGGAATGCCCCAGCAAAGAGTGCATCTGGGTTCAGAAGTACTGGAGATGTTCAGGGTCACAGAGCAGATAATCAGTGGAGATGATCAGGTCACATGGGGATAGTCATATCAAATGGGTATGATCAGATCATATGGGGAGGCTCAGGTGACATGGAGAATTTCAGCATTACATGGGCAAGGTTTGGCTCAATTGGCCTTTCCTTTTTATGTGTCTTTATCCTGGTCTCCTGTTCTTACCCTCACAGGAGGTAATAAGTGATTAGGGCTCTCCCTAGAGATCACATTTTGCTTTAATTGCCTCTTTCCAAGGTATCATCTCTCTCATCTTTTAAGGTTTTGGGGGGTAGGATTCCACTTGAATTTTGGGGCATGCACCTTGCATTCTTGCCCACTAATTCACCATGTGATAAGATTATGATGTGGGCTGTCCTGCTGCCCTGGCTGTGGCTGCGTTGAGCTGCTCTGTGCTAGGAGTCTGGCTGACAGTGGCCAGGACAGTGCGGCTATTTCACGGGCTGGTTGGTGGAGGACATTTAGGAGCCTCCTTCTTTATGTGGGTGTGCCAGGCCCCCTGCACACCGAGCTCTGCATTGTCTCTCCCTTCCAGCTTGGCGCCAATGCCCTGCTCTTCGTCAGCGTGAACATGTATGGGGTCTTTGTGAGGATCCTTGCTGAGCGCTCCCAGAGGAAGGCCTTCTTGCAGGCCCGGAACTGCATTGAGGACCGGCTGAGGCTAGAGGACGAGAACGAGAAGCAGGTCTGTGTGGTGGGGTTCTTGTCTGCAAGGGTGTGGGGAGTAGGGAACATGTAGCAGGAGTGCAGGGCACAGAGCAGGGAGTGGAGAATGGATGGCAGGGAGCACATAATAGGGAAGATGGAGTGGGGAGCACAGAATGGGGTGTGCAGGGTATGGAGCATAGAGGAGGGTGCACAGTGCAGGTCTGAACTGGCCTTCTTACCTGCAGGGTATGGGAAGCATGAGTGGGCCTCTTGGGTGTCTTGGGAGGTGATGAGGAGCCTCAGGTGTGCCTGGCTTCCTCTGCCCTCTGGGTTGGCTTGTCCTCTCTCCAAGTTGCATGTAAGCCTCCTCTGGGAGTTGTGGACGTGGGGCAGCTTTGGTGGGGGGGGCCCTTGATGTGGAGCTGGAGGAGCTGCCTCCCTTTGACCTCCCAGAACCTGGGTTTATCCATTGATATAAGCTGGGGACTTTGAGGAATCCAGAGGAGGCAGGAGAGAGCTAGTTGCTGGAAGGGGCTGAGCTCCCAGGAAGCAGTGACTGGTGACATTTTGGGGCAAGTTGGCCTCCAGATACAGCTTGAATAGGCTTATATGAAGTCTTGGGGTAGGGGTCAGGGCAGGTCCTGGTTGGTCCCAGACCAACCTGCTGGCCTAAAGGAACCATAAAAGGGTGCCAGCCCTGCCTGGGCTCATCACGCCTGACCCCATTTGAGGCAAAAGTAGCATCTCAGGACGCTCTGTGTGGGTGTCCCTGTGGTGGCTGTCACAGTAGCCCCGCACCTGCAGCTCAGCCACGTGCCCACAGAGCACCCTGCACACCTCTGCTGTGACCTGCCGGGGCAGTGGGGTGTCCTGCCCCCCAAGTCCAAAGGACTTGGAGCTGGATTGGGTTCCCACTGCTCTAAGCCATTCTAAGTCACATGTCCTTAGACTCAGCCCTCTGTGGTGTTTCTTCATCTGCTGTTGCTCTGGGGCCTCTAAACATGGTCTCAGCGCTCTGGGTGGCCCTTTCTCTGGGGTAACCTGGGGCCCTGTCCTTTACCAAATGTTAATAGATTGGGCTTGTTTTCACAGGGCTGGACAGATGGGATCAGTTCTGAATGATATCCTACTTTTATTGTAATGCAGGCATTTAAATAAATGCGCACATATTTTCATTCATCGATATTATGATGCTCCTAATACCAATTTACTGTAAGTTAGTATTGGCAGTAAAAGTAGGATATTGGTTAGAAATAGATGGCATATGTATATTTAGATAGTGTGGATCTATGGGTGGATTTGTGCATGGGGCATGTGTGGATACTATAAGGCTGTGCATATGTATGATTGCATGAGTGCAGGCATTTGTACATCTCTGTACACATGTATGTCTGTGGGTATATGGGGCACGTGTGTAAGTCCAAATGCATGTATGAGTGTTTATATGCACATGTATGGGCTTGCTGTCATGTGCATTGTGCTGCATGCCTATCTGTTCATGTGTGTGTATGTGTATGTATAAATGTGTGTGTGTGCACAGACATGTGTAAATAGTGTGTCTGCTGGGGCTATGACCTGAGCATTTTTTCCTAGACCAGGTGGCATTGACTGGCTGCTGACTGGTCACTGTTCATACTGATGGGGAGTCTCTCATGTGCTCTGAGTGGTGCTTTGTTCAGTTCTGTTACCTCATTGAGATCCCACGAGTGAACCTTTGTAGCCTTCTCTCACCCCTTCAATACATCCCCTGAAGTGCTGGAAATGGTGATTTTGGGGGCCATTCATATTTGTCTTTCTGAATCTTCCGCTTCTTTTTCTCCTGTTTTCTCTTTTCTATCTGCTGTCAAATGTCTTCCTTTCCCAGGGCCCCTCCATTTTTGTTTGTTTTCATTCTTTTCTTACTTTTGCTACCTTTTCTGTAGACTCCCAGCATCCAGCCTTGCAGTATTTTCACATACTTGCAGTATTTTCACAGACCTGTTTTCCAGTCCGGCAGTGGGCCAGCCCTGCTGGCTCATGTGAGGATGCCACAACGTCTGTTCTCAGTGTGTGCCCACACTTGGCCTTGGGGAGCGAGGCCACACATGGAGCAACTTTGATGCAGCATTTGTTGCCCTGTGCATTTTCGAGCAGCTCCATGAGAAAGGGTGTATTTCCTCAGTTCCTCAGAGTGGAAGCTCTGACCAGGGGGGCTCAGGCGCATGCCTGGGTTCTGACAGTGATTCTCAGATTCTTTTTGTTTTTTTAATTCCCTAACTGAATTTCCTCTTGTGCCTCCAACCTCTCTTGTCTTTTTTTTTAAAGATTTATTTTATTTATACAAGAACCAGGGTACAGCCCAGATGCACGGGAGGGTGAGAGGATTCACCAGAGATAGAGCGGGGAACAGAACAGGCAGACTGACAAAATACACTGCTGAGGGGAGCAGTGGGCGAGACAGGAGAGGTCTGCCATGCCATGTGGGTTGCTCCGAGGCCAGTGGGGATCGAACTGGCACTGCAAAGGCTGCAGACCGCTTCACGGCGCTGTGCTCAACTGCCTGTGCCACCAGAGAGGCCTGTTTCCAGATTCTTGAATAGGAAATTTGCAAAATGGGGCCATCCCAGCACCTTATCTAGACTGAAGGGACCATGCATCATAGCAAATGTTGTCATTTTAAAAGAGGGGAGGGTAGCCAAGGGCCTGCATGCTAAGTTAGCAAAAGCCTTTCCAGAGACTCATTAGCTTGACAAAGGTAGACATCTAAAATGTGAATAAATGTAAAGTATAAAAAAAAACCATACAACTCTTTCTGCGCATGCCCCAGTTTAGCCCCCTCCAAAACATATTATAAAGCTGATCTACACCCTGCCCTGGCTGAATGGACCCCTTAAAAACTCTTTCCCAAATTCCCCCAGAGAGCAGCCCCCAAACCTTCCTCTCTGGAGCTGTCTCCCTTGTGCACAAGTCTAATAAAACTTACCTAATGCTTCCTGTCTGGCCTTCTGATTAAATTCATTGACAGAAAGTCAAAAGTAAAAAAGAAAAAAAAAAGAAAAACCCTGAAGTCTATTACACTGAGAGGCAAATGCTGGGGTTTAGTCTCTTCCTTTCTGAAGAAAGCATTGTGCCCATTGTTTAAATCCTCCCTATCTTACTCCTTAGCCTTTTGGTTGTACACACTGGCATTACCTGCAGGTGTAGGTTTTTGCATAACCCTGGCACAGACTTCTAGTCTGTGCACTTTGCGTTTGTCTCTTGTCTGCTCGACCTGCTAGACCCAGAACATTTTCCAATATGTTCGCACCGTCCATCCTGCTGAATGCACTGTTTTCAGGGTTTCACCTTTGTGTATATGCTTTCCTCACATGGTGGTCATTTTGGTGTGTATGTAATTTTACTTTCTGCATTTTGCCTTAATGTTTCCCACGGCTGTACCCGCAGGGCTGTCACCATGACTTAAACAGCTGCTTCTTTTCTCCTGTTTGACTGATGTGCTCCACATCTGATGTTCAGACACCAGGTTTTTAAAAATGGGTTTTTCTTGTGCACATCTTTATTCCTAGAGACTCCAGGCATTCCCTTCGTTACATTTTCAGGAGTACAAATGTGGTGTCATCTCTCCCTAGGTCCTGGGATAGTTTCCAAAATTGTACTTCATTATGTCTTATAAGTAGTACCCAGTTACACTAGGCTCTGAGTAGCAATGGTGCCCCAGGCCTGTCTGTGCTGGCATCTTGGAGAACCTGCTAGAAACTCAGATTCCCAGGCCCGCCCATGTCCATGGGTGGAAAGCTGCCTGGAGCCTCCGCCAGGTTCTCCTGCATGTTCTGGTGTTGCTTCTGGTTGACTTTTTCCTTTCCCCTCCGCTCTCCCTGTTCCCTCTTTTCCTGTCAGCGCTCAGTACCTTCTGTTTATTCAGAGCTGCTTGCTGTTTCCTGCCGCGGACTACTGCTGCTTATGCTAGTTTTCCTTTCTGTCTGTCTTCATGGAGTGCGTGTTCTGACTTTTCCTGGGGGTTTGACTCAGAGGCTTGCCATACGGAGACTGATGCCTCCTCGGAAGTGCTCCTGCTGTCCTCCAGTTCTACTCCTCTTGCTTTGCCTGTCTTTTAATAAAAATTCATTTTTTAATATTTTTAAACATAGGAATTATTTCCCTTTGTGGTTTGATTTCTCGCTTTCAAGTTGAACAAACATCTGGGAATATGAAGAGTGATTGGGGAGTCTCATTTCCCTGAGATCGCTGTGGGTTTGAGCAAGTAAGCCAGGTCCTGGCTGGCTGCACCCTTTCTGTGGACTGCATCACATACTGTGGGGTTGTACCTCAGAACAACCATCTACCTGGCTGGCCTTGCACCGGGCACTCAGGTTTACTCCCTGGTTCCAGCTGCCTGATTTTAGCTTAGAAAGCTGTCTGGTGGGCGGAGGGGGGCTGGAGGGAGGGGGTGTGTGTGTGGGAAGGAGTAAAAGGGTAGTGCTTTGGTTCAGACAGGACTTAGACACCTGTGGGGGGGGCCCTTCAAGCATTGACAGGCATTTGATACCTTCTGGGGAACTGCCTAGAGAGTCCAGGGGAGCCACACAGGGTGACCAAGGAGCTTCCCCTCATCTTTGCAACCCCTCTGTGCCCACCCTGCCCCCTATGCTATCTCCCCACCCCCAAGTCACAGGTGAGAGACACCAGACCTGATAGTTTACTGCGTTTTCACATTTCAACTTAATTAACAAACAAACCTATTCAACAGTTGCTTCTAGAGTCTTTGCCCGGAGGGGCAGCACCCTCAGTGACCTGAGGGAACATTGGTGAATGCCCCCTGGCGATGGGAGGGGATGCAGGTTGTATGGCAGTTCTGGGGGAGGGTGCTGTGATCCAGCGCTGGAATGAACACTTGTGTGTCAGGAGGGGTGCCCCTAGGTTTCTGCGGGATGCTAGGAGGTGCCGGACTAGGTAGCATCTTATGTTTCTTGAGGAAGGTGTAGTCTGGGGAGAAGTGTGATAGAGGTGTTGAGGATGTTGGTGTTGGAGGGAAGTATTTTAATTTGTTGTGGTCTCTGC